CATCGTAAGTCTTTAGAGCAAGATGATAAGTCATTCGGGCCATCCATAAAACCTTCAGGGTAGGATGTTTTCACATGAATTTGAAAATGAAAAAATGATGTTTTAAGACGATGGAATTTTTGAAAACGAAGAATGCGATTTTCAAAATTTCACAATTTATAAGTCATTCGGGCCATCAGTAAGTCTTTCGAGCATGATGTTTAAATCCTTCGGGTCATCTGTAAGTCTTTAGAGCAAGATGATAAGTCCTTCGGGCCATCCATAAGACCTTCGGGTAGGATGTTTTCACATGAATTTGAGAATGAAAAAATGATGTTGGAATTTTTGAAGACGAATAATGCGATTTTCAAAATTTCACAATGTATAAGTCCCTCAGGCTATCAGTAAGTCTTTCGAGCAAGATGTTTAAATCCTTCGGGTCATCTGTAAGCCTTTAGAGCAAGATGATAAGTCCTTCGGGCCATCCATAAGACCTTCGGGTAGGATGTTTTTAAATGAATTTGAAAATGAAAAAATGATGTTTTAAGAAGATGGAATTTTTGAAAACGAAGAATACGATTTTCAAAATTTCACGATTTGTAAGTCCTTCGGGCCATCAGTAAGTCTTTCGAGCATGATGCTTAAATCCTTCAGGTCATCTGTAAGCCTTTAGAGCAGGATGATAAGTCCTTCGGGTCATCCATAAGACCTTCGGGCAGGATGTTTATCACCAGGATAATAAGGCATCCGAGACATTTTTAGCCTTTTTCAGAATAATGTTGGAGCAAACCATCAGATCATCAGATATGGAAGAAAATCGAAGATTCTCGGGTATGAAGAAGCAGGACAATCAATATACGGGAATGTGCACGTGAGATGGAGGCGAAGGTAAAAAAGACTGAAGAAGGAAAATAGACGCTACGGTCAGACAAAATCAGGTTATTTTTTGTCTTTGCCACGTTCTTGTGTTCACAACAACGAGCAAATAGGGGCAGCTGTAATACCCCAATTTTGTCCGGGCCTTTTAAATTCCCTGGAGATGACCGATAATTAATTTGAAGTTGTTTGTGCTCGATGGGGAATGAATTCAAGTGATGAATCGTGGAAGCTTGCAGTTGGAAACTTTGGTGCTTAATTGGATTGATATCGTATACGTTTCCTTTTGGAAATTGAGGTATAAATTAAAAGGCAATCAAAATTAAGTGTCTAAACTCCATTGAGCCCAAACAAGACTCAATATACCCGAGACCCAACAAACAAAGCCCATCAATAATTACATCAAGACCCGGTCCAATACTCAATTAGAGATACTCCTTACGTGAAGCCCCACGATGTGCAGCAGCTCCAGCTCAGCTCCCCACATTCTCGTGCCCATGCTCCACAACACCCAAGTGTCTCCACGTGAAGGATCAAACATCAGCCTTGAGCACCACGCCGATAACATCGAGCAAACCAAGGCTCGTCTCCCACGCCCGACAACATCATCGACATCACCACTGTCCATGCCCTACAATATACAAACCCAGACAGAGAGAACCGAGACAAGAAGAGGTTCACGATAATAAACATAAAAACACAACAGGGGGCTCTCGGTCAGCGGAAATGGGGGGAAACCATAATAAAAAAAACCTTGAGCAGTAACCAAACACTTGTTTTAGGGTTCTCTAACAGCAAACCAGTGGCGATCATTAACAACAGTGGGGGGTTCAGCGACAAGAAACAAAGGGGGAACAAAATAATTATAACAGGGGCTTTTACTTCTCATCTGGAATTTTTTGTTTTGAAAGCAGTGTATTAGGGGTTTCGGCCTACCCCCATTTTGGCCATTAGAATAAAAACATATTTTTTTATTTTCTCTTGCAATTACAAATCAAAACACTAAACTCTCAACAATCCATAAATCACTCATCACAAATAACATCAAATAATCATACGGGAGAACAAAGAAAAGTGAGAGAGAGGTTTACCTCTCTGCCGAAGTGTGTACCCTCATCGGGGTCTAAGATCGAAGCATGGAATGAGCAATGTGGCCTCACTGGGGCAAATATTGGGGTTTAAAGCTGAAGAATCTCGTCGACTTAGAACTTAAGGGTTGTTGTATGTAAGTTTGGTTTGATTTCTGGGTTTAGGGAGATAGAACGAGGGCCAAGGTTTAGTTTTCGCTTGAGTCGATAACCACTTACGGTAGTCGGAGGGGAGAGCCTCTTCGGTTCGTGGCTTTTAAATCTAGTTCGTGGAGGTCCTGGTGCAGAAGAGAGCCCTCAGGTTTCCTCCTTCGTGTGTTGGATCTTCATCAGAGAACCCCAAAGTAAGGCCTTGGTCGTGGATGGCCATTGTCTCCATCTTTTCTTTAAGGAAGGTGTAAGACGAAAGTCATGGTAGCCTTTGGAGGCCTTCGGCTGTGAAAGGAGTGGAGAATAGGGAGAACGGCGCAGAGGGAAGAGGTGTTAGCAAATGAAGATTAGGGTAAGTTTTCTTCTAAACGTTCATATATATTAATTCTCTAAAATGACGTCGTGTAGGGTTTAGGGCATCCGTTTCCCGTATGGTTTATTTCTTGTCGAGCCATTTAGATTATACATAAAATTCATTTTAGTCCCTAAATCATGTTTTCATGACTTTAATTTTGTTTCCATTTTTTGCATGAATTTAATTTGGTCCTTAATTAGCATGGTACTTAGTTTCTGTGTTCTTATACATTTAACTTCTGAATTGTTGCATGTTTGTTTTAGTCCATAAATCAACATTTGCATGTTTATAGTTTTGTCTATTTATTTTACCCGTATCTAATTTTAGTCCTAAGTATTGTCGTATTTAATCTTTGTTGTTTTAGACATTAAACTGTTAATTTTCGCGTGTTACATTTTAGTCCCTAGGTCGCAGTTTGTATGTTTTTAATTTTGTTTTGTATCTTTCGCGTATTTCATTTCGGTCTCAGGTGTTATGTTATTTAAATTTTGTTATTTTAGACTTTTGACTTTCTTTGTTTTGCATGCCACATTTTAGTCACTAAATCCCATTTTCCAAGTTTATAATTTGATCTTCATGTTTGTAAGTGTTTCTTTTTTAGTCACCTGTTTATATTATTTTTCTTTTTTTGTTCGTTTACGCATTTGGCACGTAATTTTGGTTAATTGGTGTTTTAGTCTTTAAATCTAATATGTTGTGTTTTTAATTTGATCTTTGTATTTCATGCGCATCTAATTTAGGTCATAAATGTTGGTTATTTTGTTTTTGTCATTTAGACATTAGGCATCCAAGTTTTTACATGTTACGTTTTAGTTCATGTTCAAGTTTCTTATGTGTATGCATGTATGATTAGTTAGGATCCGTTTAGGGTGTGTGCTTATCCTAGGTTTGAATGATGGTGATGTGTGTATATGTTACTACGTGGTTCATAAACTTGGATTTAGATGTAATGTATCATTTTATTTAATTAATTTTTGCATGACATCCTTTTGCATAATTTGCATAATAGCCTCATGAGCATAACTCGAAATTATTACATAATTTGATTAAGGGTAATATCCTTTTAGTTTAAAATTATTTTAAGTGGGTTGTTTTAACTGATTAGATATCCACTTTCGACGATTTTAAATTAAAAGTATATCCCATCAGTGACACTTAAGAAATTGATTCATTGCTTTAAAATTTGGGAATGGAAGAAAAAGAAATGTTCAGCTATTTAAATTTATCGAGAAAAGATAGTTAGAACTTATCTAAGATCTGGTCTCGATATTTGTAAATAATCGAATATTCTTTATCTTTCTAAAGGCTTGGTAATTTTAACTTAATCGATCTTGTTGCTTTTGAATACGGTGGAATTCGTGTGTTGTTATTTATTGGGAATCATAAATCAAATTAAAATCGAATTTGTAAATTTCATTGCAAAGACATTAATTAATCGACGACGTACCGATTTAGGACGTTGTGGGGGTGCTAATCCTTCCCCACGCGTAACCGACTCCCGAACTCATTTTCTGGTAACGCAAACCTAAATTTGTTGTTTTAATTAAAATTAATTTTTTTATTTTAAAATGACAACATTTTTGGGTGTCCAATCACACCCTAATCAAATATTGGTGGCGACTCTTCGAACCCGTATTTTTATCGTAAATGAATTTTTAAATTTTCGAAACGAGAGGTTTTCTAAAATCACATTGTTTTTAATTAAAATTCAATCATAAAGAGGATAATTAAAAATGACGTGGCTTTTCAAAATCTCGCTTCTCTTCTCGCCTTTAAAAATCGTTTCGACAAAAAGTTTATACACTAAATTGAGCGAAAAAATATTGAATTTAAACTATTAAATTCCTACTTAATGTTTGATATAATAATTATAATTATTTTAATTACTATTATTTTTATTATGTAATTTAACATTCAAGTTTTATTTTTTGTCAAAATATTTTTTTGGAAAACTAATATTTGACCAACAATCAATCTTGTTGTTGTTATAGTGTGGCCACATGTTCTTTATTGTTGACATAATATATATGTCATGCGTACTTTATCAAGCGATCTAAGTGGTGAAAGAGATTGTTAATTTTCTTAGTGGTCTTGTGTTCGAGCAACAATATTTGTAGGGTATGTGTATGTTATCAATTAATTAATAAAATTTTAAATAAATATTACCTTTATAATCATCCCAGACTATTAAAAAAAATATTATCATAACATATATCACATGTGTGGAACAACGTTAAATTATTGTTGTTGATTGATTTTTTCTTTTTTCAAATTTGTACAGTCACCCAAAGATATATAAAAGAACTAGTAAATCAAATAGAAATTTAAATAAATAATAAATATTTTTAAAAAAAATTAATAATTATTGTTGTAATTGAGGTTCACCATTTTCCACTCTGAAAGTGAAGGCTCCTCCACCAGTTGAATTTTCTTGATGAAAAGGGAGGACCCCAATCTTAATGCTGCTATTTTTTAACCACTATGGGTATGCTATATATTATGCATTTGTGTATAAGCTTGTGTAAAAGGAGCAAGAGAAGGAGACTTGTCAATATTGGAAAGCAAGCTTAACTATCAATCACTCTGAAATATATACAGTGAATGCCAACAGATCATAATCACTCGAAACACCCGAATGAGTTTTAAAAAAAAACAAAAAGGGGCAGATAAAATATACCTTCTTCATCTACTTCTCAATCACATTCTTCGAACCTTCCACACACACTTTTAAGGGTAAGTCCATAGGCTTTCTATATCTGAATTCTCCGGCGAATCATCGGAGGGTGGCGAGTTTATCCTGGGAGGGGTTACCAGCATTCCTCCTGCCATATCCACCATCAAATTGGGGAAGTTTAAAAGCTCCTCCTCGTCAATATATTCCAGACCTGAACCGGACTCCATGCAACTGCTTGACCCCTCGTTTTCAAGGTTTCCCTCGCCCTGTAACGCCTCTGTGTCTGGCTTGGTTAGCCTGGAAGCGGCGGCACTAGCAGCAGCCGCCCGGATATCGGTGGCGGATGTAGAGGACACTTTGGGGTAAGAAAGAATCATGTCCGGGAAGTTTAGGTCGGTGTCGGGACCTTTGAGGGCAATAGCGGCCACATCATACGCGGTTGCTGCCATTTCAGGTGTGGGGTACGTTCCGAGCCATATACGCGTGGTTTTACGCGGCTCACGTATCTCGGATACCCATTTCCCGCCCCTGCATCGTATTCCCCGATAGCTCGAATGCCTTCGGGAGCCAGGAGGAGATGGAACATGACTTGGCGTATGAATGGTTGGTACGCCGTCGTGGATTGGTAGTTGCGGCGGGACAACGGAGAGTGGAGTTTGGGTAGTTGGGATGGTGGGTGACTGGTCTTTTAGGGGCAAATTGGTGGAAGGATCGGCCATGGATGAGAGTGTTTAGAATCATGGGGTATGTGTTGGATCCATTTATAAGGTGGGGGATAATTTTATAAAGCGTGGAGAATTCGCGGAGTCTTTTTGGACACTTCAGTGATGTGATAGACATTGAGGTTCCAAAGCGCACACGTTTTCTTATTAAATATTATACAAACTTAAATTTAAAAAATATTATACCAAAATTCAAGATGTTTGTATAATTGTATTTGATTATTCAAAATTAAAATATTTTTATTTGGTTACTCTATCATTAAAATTTAATTATATAATCTCACATTAACATGTCGACAGTAAACAAAAAAATCTCACATCACCATCATAATGTATATTATTGACATAATAATAAAATTAGTTCTAACAATTTTATTAATGGTCACTTTGATTGTCATCACAAGGTAATATCTGTTTAAATCTAACTTTTAATCATTTGATATTGAATATTCATAACATTCCTGACGCTTGAATCCATGACATTAAAAAATAATAACAATTCTTTTACAATCGAATTCGCTCGATTCGTACGCAAAGCAAATTCTTTAAATAACTAAATGAAATACATGTATTATACTCTCGATGGAACGCCAAAACTACATATGATACATGCATATACACTTCCCAAAATTGAACTTCATAAAGAATAAAACCTATACCCTAGTTAACGCCGTTATTTTTCTTCTTACATAAAATAAATGGGAGGGGAGGGGGAGGGATGGGATGGATCCATGCCTTAATACCGACCCCTCATCATATATATAACCATGGTTTTCAGAACCGGACCGGTTAGCGAATCGGCCATGTTATCGATTCATTGGTCGAATCGGTCCGACCGATCGGAAAAATCGGATAATGTCATAATTATTTAAAAATTAAATAAAAATACCAAAAATATTTAATAAAAATAATTTTTTATATCACAAATCATATTCAAATCAAGTCATAACATATATAAGTTAAAAACCATAAAATCCAGTAAAACAAAATGATTCAAATTAACTACAACATAATATTTAAGGTAAAACATATTAAATAATAAATATAATTATATAACTATAATTAAAAAATAAATTTGGGGCTAAAAAATCATAACAAAATGATATTGTTGGTTTAATTTTTTTTAAATAATCCCACATGGCTAAGAAACATAGAAGAGCATCCCAACTAACTTCTATAAATAATAGAGGTAATTTGGCATTCAAAATCATGGAGCCTTTTGGTGAGCTTTGAGTGAACTATTCTTTCACTTCAATCAAGCTCGAATTTTAGGCTTCAATCGAGCTTCTAAATTTTTTTTTTTGAGTTCAAACCTTTTCGAGTTCAAGTTTCAATATTATATTTCGAGTTCGAGTTGAACTTGATAATTTTTAGCTCGTGTGTTTGAGTCGAGTTGAGCTTACTTTTAAAGTTTTCAGGTTCGAGTTGAGCTCAACAATACTCGAGTTCGACTTGGCTTGTTTAACAAACGACGTCGTTTGGTTTAATTTTTTTTATAAAAAAACAAAATTGACGGTTTTTTATAGTTTTTAGCTGATCCGGTTCGAACGATTCAGCGGTTTCGACCGGTTCACTAGTAGCGGTTCCCGATTGAACCGGCCGGTCCGGTCTGGTTATCAAAACACCATATATAACTCACTTTCTTTAGAAGATATCGATAGTTTTTTTTTTTTCTATTTAAAATATATAATTTTAATTCATTAAACGATTTTAGTGGTTAAAATAAACATTATTTTCTTTAAAGATTATATGTCCAAATAATTATATTTACAGAATATATGTTGTTAATGATTTAAAAAATATATAATATATTAAGTTATAATCCTATTTTAATTATTAAAAAATTATTATATTTAAATTATAATCATCTTAAATTATTAAAAGAATAGGATTAAGCCCAATGAAATATTGTGACAGCCCATTTATATCAAAGGCACCTTAGACCACTCGGCCATCCTGACTTGACTGAAAATCAACGTTTCATGGGCTTTGATGAAATGAATTTGGATCACAAAAAATAGAAAATAATGAGAACAGTTTGCAAGCGTCAACATATATCAAAGGGTAACCTATAAGCTTATTTAAATAGTATGGACGATTATAAAATAATATTTATTTATAATTTATTTAATTATTAATAATGTATATATACTTTACAAATATAATTATTTAAATTTGAGAGCTTTAAAAAAATAATATTTTATTCTATCATCCAGAGCTTGAGACCTCTCAATAATTCACAGATGATTACTTTCTAATATAAATAATAATAATAATAATAATTTTAATATTTCCTAAATATATTAATGCATTAGCTTTAATGTCATCATATTAAATGAAAATTTTGGTAAATTTTATTAGAAATAATAATGATATTTTCTACTACTACACGAACATTTTCTAAATATAGATTTTTAATTTATCCAATTATATTATTATTCACTCTCGCTTATTAAACATTTTCTAAAACTTGTGATTAAAAAAAATATGAGGGAACCAATTGTCCGAATGTACTTACTCTTTTTAAAACTTACTCTTTTTAAAGAATTTTAATTTCTCGTAGCATGATGTAAAAGAAAAGAATGTTTTTATCACGAGAAAAATGAATCATAATCTAATTTATTGACCAACTAATTCATATTAAATATTATATAAATTTATTAAGAGACCCTGCCATATAATTGTTAAGCATAATGGCTGTCCCTTTTTTCCATATGTATGGGGTAAGGGGAGGTAAGTAATGTATTATTATCGATATATAATTATTTCGTTTTAATATATTTCATATGCAAATAAATTAAAACTTTATGAACATGATGATTTTAAGAATTAATATTTGATAAACTGATAACATATGATTTTATGTACCATCAACGAATTAGATGATAATATATTATCTTTTAATCCAATAATAATATATGGTGCTTTTATTATTAAAATCACTCAATTGGGTCGCGATAAATATTTTTTAAAAATGATTATAATATTTGAAAAATATTAATAAAATTATAATTAATTATCCAGGTAGACTCCGTATCGGTTTGGTAATTCGTCTGCATTTAAAAATAAATGCCAACAACCAAGACAGCCTAACACAATGGTGACATCTGGCCTTCTGCTAACCCTCTTTAGGGTTTTGCTAATCCTCTCTGTTTCCTTAATCATATTCCTCTCCCCTTTTTAATGTCTTGTCATCTTTGTAATAATTCTGTTGGGTTTTGCTATTTCTATATAATATGCTCTCATAATTTTATACTATTATTACATAAGGATGAGTTTGTCATCCTATTTAATAAATAGATTATTTACTTAATTAATTCTATAAATAATGTATTCATTACGTTTGTTTTTACAAATATTATCTTAATTGTACTACTACACATTGATTATTCTCGTGTGTACTTAGGGGGTGTTTGGATTGGGGAATGTGGGATTCCCATGGGAATGGAATCCACATTCCCCCGTTTGGTTAGCCCGGGAATCCTATTCCCGGTAATGTAAGATTACCAATAGTGGATTTTTTGGGGTATATTACCGGGAATGTCATTACCTCCCTTTCCTTAGGTATTGTTGGATTACCGGCGTTTTGGACTAAAATGCCCTTAAATTTTTATTTTTTTTCAAAAATATATTTATTCTGTCATCGAATAATAAAAATTTTACGAATGTTAAATTACAAATTTATCCTTAAATTATTTTAGATTTACAAAAAAAAAATCTATAATTAAAATTTTATATAAAGTTCAAGGGTTTAAATAAAATTTTACCCTTTCATTAAACTTTTTTTTATTTTTAATTTTGTAAAAAATATATAAATATTATGAATTTAATTTTTTTAAAGAAAATATATAAATATTTTCCAACTTGTAATATTACACAAATATATAATTAGGACAATTTGGTCAAATATACATTCCAATAATCTTTTATTCCTTTAACCAAACACGGTAATCTTACATTCCTGCTAAGCCAACCAAACACAAAATACAATATTCCCAGTAATGCTATTCCTTGGTAATCTTACATTCCCACTGGTAATCTTATATTCCGTGAACCAAACGCACCCTTAGGGTTTGTAACCGGTCGATTCGAATTTTAATTTACCCAAATTTAATTTAAAAATTAAAATTCTCCATCTACATTTAGCTCGATCTGTATTTGACTCTATCCGACCTAAATAAATATATTTTTATAAAGTAAAATAAGGAATTAATTTAAAAAATAAAATAAAATATATATTTATTATAATTATTCATAAATATATAAAGTGTAATTATAATATTATGTTGAGTCATATTAGGTTAAATTTTTTCATCTTAAACTTGAACGTAAATTCAAACCGTCCACACTCTAAAATAACCATCCGTATGTGTATTTGTACTTCTGCTGTCGCCTTCTCATATACCTCAAATCAGTACTTTATCAAAAAAAAAGATGATACATCAATTTCTTTATTAATTAAGTAATTCATTAAGTTAGTATCAAATATAAAATTATAAAATTTGTATATGTTCTTTGTTATCTCACTTATGATTATTTATTAATGTGTTATATATTTATATATTAAAAAAATTCACCAATGTGATAAGATTTATTTACGAGTAAATTAGACAAAACTATGTTACTAAAAGTGTTAAAAATAGAATTCAATCTAATTTATAGTGTAAATTTAGATAGTGTTATAAAATAAAATTCAACAACAAGAAGTTGTATTTTAAAAAGATGCGCGTGGTTTACAAATTCCTGGAGACGCGTATGGTTAGATTTGTCTTGAATTGTGGATCATTGGCTACAAAATCCAAGTCTCTCACTCTCGTCCATCAATCGTTTCCCATACTCTTTTAGTTCCATTCTCTTTTCTTTTACCCAAAAAAAAACATAATTTCCCGTTAATCATGGCTTCAACTGCACGTGCACTTCACCGATAATGAACCATGGGACTTTTCCGGCGACTCTTTGGAGGCAAAAAGTCCAACAAAACACGCTCCGACAAGGAACGGAGGCGTTGGAGC